GTGCTACTTGGGTCTCAAATCCTAGATGGTTGCTCAGGTACATGAAAGGACTATTTAATTTACGGCCACTGAGGCCTCGTTACACTCGGATATGGGATGTCAGTAGTGTTTTGACTTATTTCCTCATCGGAGTTTAAGTTTGTAAAATTTGACATTAAAGCTGACAGCATTGCTGGCATTGGTCACAGCAGCAAGAGCTCAGGCACTGGTGGAGTTAGATTTAAGTTATCTGCAAGTAGCAGGCGATCACTTTAAAGTGAATTTTTAATTTATGAACTCACTAAAACAAGTAAGTTGGGCGAACCGATTCAGGAGATTATTCTGGAGAGATACTCTAAACCAGAAATTTGTGTATTGGACACATTGTTTGAATATATTTGTTGCACTCGGGAACTAAGGACGTCAAGTAGATTGTTGATTTCATACAAGAATTTTTCTGCGGTGTCTACATGCACTATTGCCAGATGGCTACGGACAGTGCTCATTAATGTAGGAATTGACCCCACTCTTACAGAGGAGCTTCTGTTTCAGCAGCATTTAACAGTGGCGTTTCACTGAAACAGATTCTACGGACCGCAGATTGGACTTCAGTTAATATGTTTAAAAAGTTTTATTACCGAGAGTCCGGGGAAGGGACTAAGTTCTCGGATAGACTTTTGAGTTGTAATTTCAGTTAATCTGTATTTTCTTTCTTGAAATAAAATTTTTGTTGGATTGCATCTCCATTGAGGTTGTGTGGTTGAATCCTGTGAAATAGTCCACGCAAGCAGTGTGATTGTCATCAGCTTTGAACATGCTGTTTACATCTCTTAGACGAAGGCGAACGTAAATGAAAAATAATGCCCCCTCATCCCAGCAGGTGTGCAGGATGAGGGACATTATTTGAATTGTAGTGAGCCTGAGGCTCAGAGAACACCCACCACTTTTTTGGAGCTAGATTTAGGGGTTGGCTGAGACCCTCCCTTTTTTAAAAYTTTGATGACAATMACGTGGCGATGAAAAGTGACGGAGGCCAGGCTAGGGAGCCTATTTATGGGGTCGCTAGGCATCATGGGTAWTTGCCTCTTTGAAGAARAGACCTCGCTCTCACAATATCTCAAATGATGCTGTTTACATCTCTGAGCCTCAGGCTCACTACAATTCAAATAATGCCCCTCATCCTGCACACCTGCTGGGATGAGGGGTCATTTTCCAAAAATCAGAATGAGAGTAGCTGACCACAGCCAAGCTCTGGATCTCTGTTGCTGAACAACATTYTGTGGTTTTACGGTAAATGGACTGAACTTATAGAGCACTTTATCAAGTCCCTCCGGACCCCAAAGTGTTTTTACACTTACAGACATTCACCCATTCACACTCACATTCACACACTGATGATGGCAATCTACACTGTAGCTACAGTTGCCCTGGGGCACACTGACAGAGGTGGAGCTGCCATGCATCGGTGCCACCGGACCCTCTGACCACCATCAGCCACAAAGCAGTATGGTGGCCATAATTCAACTGCCATAAAACTCTGTGATGTAATGGAACAACATGGGTGACAGGGCATTTTAATGAAATCCTGTTATAAAGCTAAGTTTCTAAGAAAAAAAACAACAAGACTAGGGATGCATGATACATCAGCATTAATATTGGTATCGGCCAAGGTTTTAGCATCATTGTTTAGCATATTGGTATCGGTCCAATAAGTAAAACTGGGCCAACACTAACGTCTGATATCGATTTCCCACTTTTTAGCTTCGTGTTTCTGTTTTGGGAGGGGAAATGGCTGGTTGAGTGGTATTTGTTTGATTATGAATGATTGTGAGGCTGCGCAGGCAGGAATTACTGAAGTAGAGAGCCATGTCAGAGGTTTCGTCATTTTTTTACGGTATCGAAAAAGACAAGTGTGTTTGTGAGTATATGTATAGAAATAATTTGTGTGTTTGTGTAATATTGGTAAATATCGGCTATTGGCCATAACAGAAATAATAATATCTGACATAGATATTAGCTGAAATTTTCATATCGGTGCATCCCTAAATAAGACTAAAAGGATCACAGAACAGATGACTGAACTTATTGCTCAGGATGACCAACCCATCACTGTGGTGGAGAAAATAAGTTTTTGTCTCTTTCAGGTGTTTCTAAGCCAAGTTACACCCTACCATTTTGACACTACATATTTGCTATTTGCTGGGGACTCGGTGTTGTCCGAAACTTCATCTCAAATTAGGCCTGTCACGATAACAAATTTTGCTGGGCGATTAATTGTCTCACAAATTATTGCGATAAGCGATAATATTGCCTGGTGATCATTTTACAACTAATAATTATAAAAGCGTAATGTAATAAATCAATAAACTTTAATTTTTAAAGAATGTTTAACAAAGTGGACTCTCAGTCTCTAACAAAAATGCACTTGAATAAAAAAAAACCCAAAGAACAACAACAACTAAGACAGTAAATAAACAATATTAAAGAGCAGCATCTCTTTAGAGATGAAGCAAACTACACAGCCTGGTGAGGACCCACTGTTTCTTATGGGGACATAAGCCCAGTTCACATCCCATGTAAAGTTTAGGTTTAGGGTCAAATGATAATAGAAAATACTGGTAAATGAATGAAAGTCAACGCAAAGTCCCCATGAGGATAGAAGAACAAACGTGTGCGTG